ATCTGTGGAATCAGCGATGGAGCTAGCACAGGCACTGCTAAGATTCCTCTTTTCTCTGTCATCAGATCTATGTTTTGATTTCTCCTCCATATTAATTGATTCCGTCATGCAGGAAAAAAAAACCCAGCCTCTGTATCAGAGTTTCTAACACTTGCTCTTGGCGTGTCTCCCCAGGCTGTTGTTTTCAGGTCTGCTGGATTTCTCCCTTGCGTTTGCTCATGCTCCGTATCATCCAACAGTGACTTATCGACCACCTATTATGTGCAAGTCTCTTTGTTATGTAACCAAGGCTACTTGGTTCCTCCTCCCCGCCTCCTCGTCTTATTGTATGATTCTTGCTGATCTCAGATGGAAGGAATTTTAGTTTTTAGTCATAGTCAGGTGCATGGATAACCTAAGTGTCTCTGCAGACCGCTGGAGGCTACGGCCGTCTCCACCTCTCTCTGTTCATCTATATGTCTTACGGATTATGAGCTTTTCAGGGCAAAGGAAACCTTCATCATGCTTGAAATGAGCCACTAACAGCGTGCCAGCAAAACCATAAATCTGCCTTGGACCTAACTGAATCAAATTAACTCATCTGAAGCTCCAAGGATTTAAGTGTCTCTATTGAGAAGGAGCACGTCAAACAGGTTTAGATGTTTAAAAGCTTCTCTGTTTCCCAGATACAGAGGAGACAGGTATTACATGAAGTGTGTTCACACATGCAGACCAACTTGAACATTTTGAACGCGGCGATACGGGAAATTCCTTCCAAGCCGTTACCATGATGGCTCTTCTTCCTTTTGCTTAAAACATGAGCGATGTTAGCTACTGCTACACCGATATCATTTCCCTTATTCCTTCTTTTGCAAATCACAACTCTAAGAACCTAATTTAGAGGAAATAAGAATAAACGAGAGGAGGGGCAGAGAACAGCTCAAGTGGTAGAGCGTGTGCTCAGCACACACGAGGTCCTGGGTTCAGCCCCCAGCACCTCCTCTAAAAGTAAACAGATCAACCTAATTACCACCCCCCAAACCAACTGAAAAAGAGAGACTACATAAAATTTTAAAAAATGAGAGGAGAAGGAAGATTATTAATGGGAAGATAAAAATGAAAAGAAAGTTATTTTATATCAGGTAGAAGGGTAAACGCTGAGTAAACAGGGCAAGGATGCAGATGCAAATAATGTAAACTTAAAACAATACTTAAGTATGAATGATTCAGGAAAAGTAGACAATTATAGTGAGAGAATAAGAATATGGTCTATGTATTTTAAACTATGTCTTGTAATAATTATGCATATTTGTATATTGTATATTTCGTATACGTGCGTATAATAAAAAGAAACATTTTATTTCGTGGAACAAACCAGGGGGGTGTAATTGAAGAATACAGGATCATGGCGCTTCTGGGGGAGAAAGTTTTTTCCCATCAGTGTGTCCTCAGAGCATGGAATCCCAAGGCAGGCAGGTGTCTTAAACACGAGAGGGTCCGACCTATCCAGTCAATCAGTAATCATTATCTCAATAAATGAATGCACTTGGGAAAACCTTTTGAGAAGTCTTTTCAAAGTCTTTTGCGGACAAGAAATTAATTCCAGTAGCTCTCCTTTATTCTATTATGTTTCTAAATTTTACCTGAGATTTCAAAACCTAACAGCATAGTTTTGACATACCTGGGCTTTGTAAACGTGATAGCAATAGGAGGAATATGGTTTCATTGGGGTAAAAGGTACTGAAAGTTGCCACTTTGTAAATGTGAACTAACAGAGGTGTATATATATACATACACACACACACGCATGTATATGCATGTATATACCTAAATCTAACTTACATTTACACATGTGTGTATGAAGTTTGAATCTAAGAGATGCCTTTTTTTTTTTTACAGGACAAGTTGTGGATACTGCAACTAACGGTAGGAATTAATATTTGGATTTTACTTACTTTATTTTTTGTTGCCAATTTTATATACTTAATGTTGATAGAATTTTCCATTATCATCTAGTGAAATCGTTTTTAAGGACAAGCTTTATAATCATGAATGGTCCTTGACCTTCTCTTGATCATAATATGCCTGCTTGTAAGTTTTGGTAACTACCTGAACATACATATTATTACTTGTAAATGTATTTTGTGTATAAAGTATAGCCTTTCTTATATGGACAGCAAATCACATGGTAGATTTCCAACCTCTTTTTTAATTTTAACATTGTAAATAAATTTATTTATTTTAGTTTGATCATAAAACTTCATAGTGAAGGAGTTATATGAGAAATTAGAGAGAATTCTAAACATAATTACATATATATAAATTCCTGCAAGAGAAAAGCTTTGACATTATTTAAGATAGTTTGTCATAATCATTTCCAAATTCTATTGTCACAACTGAATTCAGTTTTAACAAGTTGTCCTAATCCTGAGATAAATTTAAGCAATGCAGATGCTGACAATAAATTCATATATATCACTTGCAAAAGGAGAGAGAGAAATTAGATTGCATCTGGTTAAAAGTTAATTACATCGCTAAAGTGCTATTGTTATGAAATTATATTATTTGATTTCCTGATCAGTTATATCGTTGACATTATGCAATGGTAGGTAAAGCCATTAAGATAACCCGATGTAACCATTCTAAGGCAGAGTTCTCGTGAGGCACATTCACAGTGTTCTGAGAACTGGATTATTAAAGGAACTATTTCAGTAATTAAAGAAAAATTCATGCCGAACTTCAGAAACAAAGAACTGTAACAAAATGTTCCTGAATATGCGTAAGAAGCGTGCGGTCTTAATTTTAAAAGGCATAATATTGGGACTTTGTAGTTTTATAGTGCCTCAGAGTGGTTCCATCTGTACATGAAAGTCACTGCCGCTTAGCGGATTGTGATTGGTTTATGCCACCTACTGGGACGCAGCTGGGCATTCCACCTTTACAGGAGAATAAGTTCATCTCAACCGCGGAGACCGGTTGCTTCTGCAGGTGGGGTGGGAACGGGGTGGAAAGGGGAGCGAATGTTTGAAACGATAGGTGACCCCCACCTTGCGGAGAGCTTACATGATCTCTGCATGGACTCTGTTACCGCAAGCCTCCCGGGGATGGAGCCAGGTGAGTTAGAACCGTGATTCCCAGGTGCCAATCCAGGACGGCCCCTGCCAAACTCCGCCAGCAGGACGAAGACCAGTGGGAACCAGCACATCTGCAAAGCGTGCGCGCGGGGACTGCATGGGATTGGCAACTGGAGCGCGTTTCCTAACCCTAAATTAAACTCTTATTTATGAACCCAGGGAGTGTGCACGGAACTTTAGAATGTGTGCAAGGGTGACAGGACTTCTGGGTGGGAGGGTGGTTCTCAGAACACTGTTTCTTCACACACCAGGGACTAAATATGCTCTAGACCAGAGTGCCTTAGGGGTGCGACTCTTCAGAATGGTAGAGCGCTGTCCTGTGGGGTATTTGGGGTGACTCGCCTTCTCTGTAATTCAAATCTAACAAAAGGATGGAGTGGGTGATACAGGGAGAAGGTTGCAACATTTTCCTCAAAGCAAAAGGGATCATCGGAACCCTGCCACTCCCAAGTGAGTTCAGCCTAAACACAGCGAACAAATAATGGGTCGAGTCTCTAATGATGAACGTGAATTAATGTTATTGGACAGAACTTCAAGCCCCTCCTTCCCTCTCTTCCACCTTCTCTGCCCCCATCCACCTCCCGGACATATTTTTTTAATAAATGTTTTCTTGCGATGAGAACTTTTATTTTTTTAATTTTTAAATTTTTATTCTTTTTGGAGAGGGCAGTCATTCCCACCTTTTAGCCAACATATATCGATGAGCGAATGAACACTCAGGTTAGATTTATGATTTTACACCAAAGACAGGAAGACATTCCTTGCCTGTTACTTAGTTGGATGTGATGGCATGTAATTAAGGGTGAAAATGTATTAGTAAAAGTATGTATTTGTGAGTTAGGATGTGAAATTTTAGGGGTTGGACATTTTCTTTGGAAAATAACACACAGAACAACCATGCGAGCCTTTGGGGCTCTGTAATCGCAGACCGCTCTGCGGCCTTTCCTGGGCGCTGGCGCGGGGGGGTGGAGGGGGGTGGACGGGGCTCAGAGAGGGTTTATCTGCATTTAGCAAACATGGATTTCACGTCACCTGTGACATTCACGAGTGAAGCTGGGTCCTCCCTGTGTCACCTTCCTGTTCCTAGTCAGCGACCCTCCGCTCCTGTTCTCGGTTCTGTCCTGTCCTAGCACTTCTGCCCCTTTTCTAGCCTCCCCCCACTTCTCCCCCTTCCCCTATTTGTGCTGTGCTGTCTCATCCAGCCTTGTTGAGCTGAATGAACAAAACTACTAGTGGCATATAGCTCCATTTCTCACTAATTAGACGTTGAAAAACATAAAATGTGCTATTCGTAGAAGTAAATACATGTCAAACAGAACATTAGGGAAGCACCTCTATAATCCCAATCTTCAGCGATCACAGTGCTTTTTTGCCTTTTTAAAACAACTGGCGAACTTCCCCACTCTCTGAGATAAAGGAGCACTGTTTCCGGGCAAGAGAGCGCGACGCAGAGGCTTCAGCACGCGGTCCCGTTGGCCCGCTCTGCTCTCAGGCCAGCTGTGCGAGCACCACCACACCCCGCCCCCTCTCAGCTTTCTTTTTCTGAGGTGCACTGGGGCTGTGGGAGATGGTATATCAGTATCTCAGATTGTGTTTCTTTCGTTATCATGAAGAAAAACCCAATTTTATAGACTTGGGTCATTCGTCTATTTGCTTATGAAATTTGGCTTCCAGTCTTTTACCTGGCCTTCGTTTTGTTTGAATTTGATCAATTAAAAAAAATCAGTGTGTGCCTTTTAGAAGTTTGGTCTTTCATTTTTTTCTCCTGGAGCCCTAGCCCTCTGCATAATCACATCCCAGTTCTATCTTTATTCGTTTCTTCATTGATACATCTTTTACAATTTTTCTTTCTTTCTTTCTTCCTTCCTTCCTTCCTTTCTTTCTTACAATTTCTTGGAATCGTCTTTATGCCTTGGATTTTATCCTTCTGAACCCAGTTGCTTTGCACATTGAGAATCTAGCAATTAAGTGGGAAGAGGGCAGGGACTAGTTGCTTTTAGCTCCATTTCCCCATTTTCACCTTTAGCCACTGTTCTGTGGCTTTTACTATTTTTTTCATTTATTTTAGACTTTTTTTTAAATAGAGGTACTGGGGCTTGAACTCAGGACCTCATGCATGCTGAGCATGTGCTCTGCCACTGAGCTATACCCTTGCCCTAGACATTTTTTCAAAGTATTTTTCTTCCAGTTTTTAAAAATTGAGCTATAGCTGACATATAGTGCTATATACTTTTGGGGGGTGCAGGGGAGGTAATTAAGGTGTATTTATTTATTTATCTTAATGGAGGGATGGGGGACTGAACCCGGGATCTCCTGCTTGAGAGGCACACACTCTATTGCTGAGTTTGTTTTCGGTCTAAATCTATTATATCTACACCTCTGAAGGCATCTACAGCTGTATCCATGCAGGTGCACATACGTGTGTGCACTTTCAAATGCACACGCCTATACACATATACACCATGACTCACAGCTGTGTGGTGTGTGCATGTGCACACACGTACATGTATGCACATTTAAGTACACACCATCATGGACGGGAGTCAGTAGGCTCAGATGGGCTGACGTTTCAGGATATGATTCACCTCACCTGTTGATTTTCTCCTCCCTGCATCTCTCATGACTGTGGCAGGACTGAACACAACAGAGGCGTCCACAAGTCTGCCTCCAAGTGACCCCTTTCCTGCTCGCACCACCGCATTCTCACCCGCAAGCATCTCTGAACCAGGCAAGGCCGCCTCAGAGACCGTGCCTCCTCTAAACGCAGGCAGTCCCACCGCGGAAGTCTCCTGGAACCACACGGCTCATAATGGTACTTCTGCTGTCACAGGTTGGCGGACATCCTAACTCAGATGGGGTTAGGGAAACTTGGCACTCTCTCTGTTTTTTCGTTATTTCTTCTTCTTTTTTTAAATTTTAAAGCCATCAGAACAGTTTTTCTTTAAGTTAAGTGTTTAGGTTCTTTGTGTGTGATCTTACAAAATGTGTAAAACGCAGAACATCCAGGTGTGAATGAAACGTTGGCTGACTGAAGTGACGCCCTGGGGCTGTCAGGGAGCAGGGGGCGAGGGAAGTCCGCCTGGGCAAAATCCGGGTTAGGGGTGTTTGCGGTGTTCCCTGATCTGTCTCTGCCAACCACATCATTCTCCTGGTCCCGCTCACCTAGGTTTCCTGTGGGCCCGACAGGTCAGAACTCCCTGCTGCGGGTCTGGGTCGGCCCCGCCCTCCCTGGCTCTTACCCCGGAGTAGAAGCTTTCTTGGTTCAGTTTCAGATTCTCAGTATCAGAAAATTATCAGAGACAGACAGTTCATTTTTTTTAACCACACTGAGGATTAATAATCCAGTTTAGTTACTTGGATTTCCTCCAGGAATAGTTGCATTATTTTTCAAAAATTAATAAATTAGGGTTGTGCATCCTAATGGTAGAATTAAAGGTACTGTGGCCAAGTTCATAGCAAAGTATCAGGCTACCGTAGGAGGTGTTTCTGCCCGGCGTAGCCCTGGATGCCCCTGGAATCTGGGGGCACCCCTGATCTGCTTGTTGGTCCTTTGTGAAGCAGACAGTTTCTAGACATGCTCTGGTCAGAGACTGAGCTCTGTGTTCAGCAAGGTCATCAGTCTTGGCTTGGAGCACAAGCGTGGGGAGCTCCGGCCCGGACTTGCGGCCCAGGGTATGTGCAGTGTTTTGAGCACCATCTTGATGGAGGTTTCTGGCTGCCCTCCCGCCAGGTGAACTGAAATACGGGCCGACTGGCCCTTGAAGAGACGGAGCCATTTCCCACGTTGGTAAACTGTAATACCAGTTTGCTGCTTGTAACCTCTCGGTATTTGAAATTTTCACCTGCGCTGGGGAGGTGGTGATGCAATGACCTCACCTTCC